TAAGCTTTCGTGGACTACAGCCCACTTCTTCGGATCCGAAGAAGTGGGCTGTAGTCCACGAAAGCTTATGCTCTAATAAATTTGTTAGTCTCTAAGGTGCCACAAGTACTCCTGTTCTTCTTTTTGCGGATACAGACTAACACGGCTGCTACTCTGAAACCTCTCTTTCCTAATGGACCCAAGTTAAACTGAAATATCCCTCCCTAGTCTCAACCACTTCTCCCCCAGCTCTGAAAGCTCAATCGCTTCCCTGCCAGGGGTAGGTGTTTCCCCCTCTCCTCCAATGGGCTTGCCGTGCTTTGCATTATCGTTGGTTATTCCATTCTCTATAGGTTCTTACACTGTGCCCATCTCTGCAGTAGCTGAGTACTAGAGCTGGGCCAGTTTTTTTTTTCAGGGTCTAGTTTATTTGCCAAAAAAGGCATTTTTCAGTCCAGACTCCACCCCCTATCCGGGTTGGAAATCCAGATTGAATTCAGTGAATAGTTTAGTCTCAAAACAAATGAAAAAAAAAAAGTAGAAAAAGTCAAAAGGGTTCGTTTAGACATTTTCAAAACAAACCTTTTTGACTTTTGTTTAGAAATTTAGCTAGATTTGCTTAAACTTAAAAAAAAAAAAAAGGACTGGAGACCACCACAAACCATAATAAAATCCTTGGGAAAAAATTCATTTTGGGTCAAACAAAAACATTTGGTTTTTCCCCTGGATTTTTCCGTTCAGCCACCAAACCGAACAATCAGTTCTTGGCTCAGAGCGCCATGCGACGCATGGTTTCACTCCGGGATGTGGTGCAGCTCTCCCCTCCTTCTGGGGCCAAGCAGGGTAGGGGTGGGAAGGAAGTGAGCACAGCAGAGGAGCTTACCCCGGATCCGCAGTAGCGCCCCAGGCGTGGCGCTGTCCCGTCATAGCCGTCAAAGAGCTCCATGTAGTCGTACCCGCAGTCGGCCTCCTCCTCGATCTCGAAGGTCTGGAAGATGAGCTCCACCCCGTAGCCCTCCTCCGCTACAATCACCCACTCGCAGTCCGAGCCCCCAGGGTAGTTGTTATCTCCGAACTGAGCGTGTGAGTACAGGTCCTTAGTTTTCACTTCAGCTCGCATCTGGCCCCCGCAGACTGGAAGTAAGAACACACACACGCGCATAGCAAGGAGGTGAAGAAGGGTGGGCACCTATTGCCAGAGAGGGTCATCTCATTTCTTCTCTATTTCCTAATGTTTTCCCTCTGGCAGCCCCGGGGGGCCTCTCTCTACCCTGGAGCTCAAACACCCACCCCATCTGTGTGTTATGGAAGGAGGGAGAGTGGAGCTCAGTTTCTGGCCCCATCCAGCCTTTGGCCTCTCTGCTTAGTCTGCCAACCTTGGGTGTTTTTTGCACAGGATCCGCTGAGCAGCCGTGAGATAGATGGCCAGAAGGGCCATGCAGAAGTGAATGGCTCCCTGTCCCAGCACTGATCTCCTGAGCCATCCTGCCCCCCAAAATTGTGACTTCAAAAAGAAACACGGCAGCTGCTTTGCTTGCGCCTCTCAACGTTGCTTTACTATCAGCCGATGACCCCTAATCTCTCTGTTCTTCTCCTCCCCTTGCCTCTCTCCACACATTTAACACCTTATACAAAATACTGAACCACGCCAAGCCTCGGAGTCTTTAAAGCACCACAGTTCCTAGGGAGACACAAGGGTGAAGTGGGATAATATTCCAGCCTCTCTCTTCTGGGACCAGAGCTTCACACCTGGCCTGACATCACCACGACTCTCCGAAGGTTTTAGGGACCTGCCACTGAACCAAACACCAAGTAAACAAAAACCCAATTACCTGTTGAATAGGTGGCCTGGAAGCCCTTCTTCTGGACGGAGTTATCAGAGAAGAACTTGAGGAACATCTTGTTGCTGGTGGAGATGACGGGGTCCGGTTCCTTAGCCCCACAGAACCTGCCCAGGACTGGAGCCTTGGCATCTTTCCCATTGTAAACCTCCAGGTGGTCATAAGTGCATTCCTGATGACCCTCAATATCCAGCTCTGTGAAGGTCTGGGAGAGGGAAGGAGACGGAGGGAAACAATGACAGTAGGTGGCAAAGCACTGAAGTTCTATGGATCTCAAGTCACGACAGTGATGGGGGGCCATTCCAAGTCCCATACACAGCACATCTCTGGCTATGCTGTTAGGAGCCACATTAGTCTGGTCGCAGCCGGCAATTTCCCTGTGCAGAGGTCACCTTGTCTGCAATCTACTCCCATCCCATTTGACTGCTCTCAAAGCAACATTAACAAGAAATGTCCCCTGGGGATGTTACTGCATAATTGTCCCCTTCCTCCCATGTGTGTCATGGCTCCATTGTCCATTATAGAGGCTATACACCTCCCTGCACAGCATCTGGTACTGGACATAGCTGGAGAGAGGACAATGGACTAGACAGACCATTGGTCTGAAGCGGACTGGAAATTCCTAGATGTCTTATCTTTCACACAGGGACCGGTGGCTGCGGTCACTATAACACATGTGTGTTTTTCTGCTGGTAGTCCCTTGCTCTATACATTACCAGTTTGACGCGGTGCCCAGGTGTGGTAGTTACTGCCCAGGTGCACTCTTTCTTGCTCGGGTACTTATCGGGCCAGTTAGGGCTGGTGATGGTACCAGTGATGGACGTCACCTTGTGATCACAGCCGGCTGCAGGAAGAGGATCCCAAAGAAGGAGTCAGCCAGGGGCTATCCCCCAAAGGGTCATTTCTCCATCCTTCCTCCACCCCCCAAACTCACTCACCCAACACTCCCAAAGGGTCAGCTAAGCTGTTTATCCCCTCGCCAGCCCCTTGTTGCTGGGAAAAATGAAGAGATGGGGAAACCTGTGCACGGTCCAGAGGACACTGGCAGCAAACCCTTCAGAGACCTTGTGCACTGAGAAGCCCAGCAAGCCAACCGAACCTTCCCTGCCGTCCTGGGGACACACGTACCTTCTTTGCAATCGTGGTTGTTGTCGTGCAGCACAAAGCCGCTGCGGCACTGGCACTGGTAGCTGCCGAAGGTATTTAGGCAGTCGTGCTGGCACCCTCCATTATCCTTCGAACATTCATCTTTGTCTAAGGAGAAGAAAAGAAGCAGTCCTTGGTTTAGCAGGGCCTAGGTATTGTTCCCTGCTGGGTTACGGTGAATCGCCAGCATTGCAATGGACGGCCCTTCTCAATGGGGTGAAATCTAGGGCAGCTGAGCCGTTCAGAAAGGGCCAGACTCACCCCCAGTGCAGAAGGCTCACTCACAAGGTTCTGTGCATTGCAAAATCCCACTTAAATTCCATGACTGAATTGGTGTCCAGGGCCTCCCTCTGACCCTTCTGCACTGGGGTGAACATCAGCTTATGGGACCTCAATCCGTACCACCGCCTGTTCGAGTGGAAACATCTTCCATGGAGACAAATTGTGCCAACTAGTGCCTAAATGATACCTCACTCACTATTCCCAGACTCTGAGTGCTCTGCTACTGAAAGTCCCTGGACCTGGACTCGAAACGTTCAGCTATCAGTGGAAGGAAACTATCAGACAAGCAAGTTCTTATTTCCAGCAGCAACCAGATCTATGGGCCTGACCCTGACTCTCACTTCCACCAAAGCGAATGCAGTGATTGAAGCACAAAACTAGTGCAAGCGAGAGGAGAACCAAGCTCCGTGTCTACAAATCTTGCCCTGTGCTAACTCCATATGGAAATCAATTCAATATATATGGGACACAACCATTACCTGCTTACTGTACAGACGGGTAGGTAGAAAAACAGACACAAGGACAACCAAAGATGCAAGAAAGACCAGGACATGGTGTCCTTCTTTACTTATCAATAGGAAATGTCACAGACACAATAAAAATTGGAAATAAAGGTCAACTGGTCAATGACAAACCAGAGGAGTCTAAAAACAATGGTGAATAAAAAAAAATAAAAAGCCAACAACCAGTTCTGTCAAGCAAGGAATTTGGGGCCTGGGCGACTCTCTGAGCGAGGCTGTGAACTAGGACAGAACGGAAGGACATTGGTTCCCTGTTCCCTGGATCCTTTGGAGGGGCAGTGGTGTTCCTGAGGAACTGAACGGAGGATTGGCCGGGTTCCTTTAGGGCCTCGTATTCTTTTCTGCAGGCGGAACTTCAAGCCGGGTGGGCGAGCTTTCGGGGGCTGCGGCTGCTGCTTCGTTTCTGAAATGACAGAGAGGGAGAGAGAGAGAAAATGAAAATGAATCGGTGCTGTTGTGCCCGGAAGGAGAGTTGGACACCAAGGTAAGGGAGCCAAGTAAAGGGCTGGGGGGCAGTGGGACATGCAGAGAGCGGGGGCCATACTCAGTAGCAAGTGTTACAGAGCCGAACAAAAGGGGAAGCACAGACACAGCTACTGCTGCCAAACTACAGGAGAGGCACAGCACAAGGGAAAGGCGTCAAGATCTACCGGAGCCCACGGAGTCACACCCCGCCCTTTCCCTCTGGCTCTTGAAAGCAAACTTTAGCTCCAGCATTAAGTGATGAATGGGCCAGTCGGGAGGAACTTTCTGGTGCAGCACCCCCTAAAGGCGCTTGGGGGAGTGTTCCTTTCAGGGCAGAAGCATCTCCTCCTTTCCCATGTTATCCTACATTCGCTGGCCTAACACAGCTTTAGCTCTGCATAGAGGAGAATGCAAGGAGGCAGAGGTGGGCTGGCAGACTCCAGAGAGGTTTGAGACAAGGGAGTATTGGGAGCAAATTGGCCCTTTCAAGCTATCAGTCAAATAAAGTCTTCACTAGCTGTCGCCTGCTAAAAGCCAATACAAATTCCACATTGTTCCTGTGGGGGACATGAGCATCGTGGGGGATAGCCCTCCAGATAGATAACTGAGAAGGCACAGGAACTGCCCACGGTTTGCAGAGTGTTAATTTGGAGGAGGTTTTGGAAGACCATATTTGAGGTTTCGTTGTTTGCACTTTGGGCACCTGGAACAGGATGGTGTGTGGAGATCCTCCCGCCTGCCCACTTACCTCTGCTCCGCTGAACCCTGGCTGCAATTATTACGGGAAGGACCTGCCCCTGCACATAGCAGAACTCCCTGAAAGGCGACGTTGTCTCCAGGCTTTGGAGCATGTGTAGGAAGGCTGGTTACTTAGGGCTCCCCATGGGCTTCCAGCCGGGAAGGTTAGATGATCTTTATGGGCAATTTCTTTGGCTGTAGGACAGGTCAAGAGGCAGCACGGTGACGCAGATAGTGTACTGGACTGGCAGCCAGGAGACCTGGGTTCTATTTACCAGCTCTGCCACTGACCTGTTTGTGTGACCTTGGGCAAGATACTTCCCCTCTCTCGGCCTCTTGTTTCCCCTCCCACCCTTTGTCAGCCTTGTCTAGGTGGTGAGCTCTTTGTGCAAGGACTGTTGCTCACTATGTATATGCACAGCACGGCCCTGATCTCGGCTGTGGTCTTGAGGCACCACTGGAATACAAATAATAACAGGACAGTTAAGACTGGGCATTTGGAGATTTCCACTTATGGCAGATTCTGACTCTGGGGGCAGACAACCAAGTATTAAAAATAGCAGTAAGTCGGCCCCAGCCCCTGGTCTTGCAGTGAGCTCTCGCGTGCACTGCATGTTCAGACTGTAAGCCCCCAGGGGCTGTGGTTCCTTTAGCTCTGTACAGTGCCAAGCACACAGTCAAGGGTTTAAACATCAAGAGTGATTGGTCTGCGAGAAGCACCCATTTCTAGTCAACAAGGAATGCAGGAACACTTTGAAAGAGCCTCCTGAATGCAGCCTATAAGCGGTGTCTCACCTGGAGCCTTGCGCACGGGAGACAACTGGCTTCCGGGGGGCTGTTCTTTTCCCCACAAGACAGCACGAATGCAGGAAAGGTTTGCTGGAGCAAAAGGCTGGTCTTATGGTTAAGGCATCGCACTGGGACTCAGGCTCTGTTCCCAGACTCCCCATGCAGCCTTGGGCCAGTTGCTTCACTTCTCTGCCTCAGTTCCTCATCTGTAGAACTGGGGCTTAACAGTCCTTCCTTTGTCTGTTTAAATGGTCAACTCCGCCGGGCAGGGCCAGTCCCTTACTCTGTGCACATGCAGCGCCTAGCACAATAGGAGCCTGATCTCAGTTAGAGCCTTTAGGTGTGCTACTATGATACAAAGAATAGCAAAATTTGTGTGACCGTGCTGTCTTGTGGGGAAAAGAACACCCCCCAGGAAGCCAGGTGTCTCCCGTGTGCAAGGGTCCAGGTGAAACACCGCTTACAGGCTGCATTCAGGAGGCTCTTTTATTTAAACATGCACGCAGGGCTCTGTTTAGCATGATGCATGGTCCAGTTACTCTTACGAGCCTGGCTGCTGTTAAGAACAGGGGTGACGTGCCTTTACAACCCCCATGTGCAACGGTATGTACCCCCTTGTTCTGACCGCCCACTGCTGCACATGGCCAGACCTGTTTCCTGGGGGCTTATAACCAGAAAGCTCAAAGTTCATGATGCGGCAGAGGAGGGGGCTTTGAAAGGCCTAACTGTACAGGCAGCAAACAGAGCAGGGGGGAGAAGCATGTCAATCAAGACTAGGGGGCTGCAAAGGGAACTGTGCGTAATAAACCCCCTTCAGGAGGGAAACCTGGGATGGGGAGTTAAAAGAAAGAATTTGCATAGGAAAAGAGCCCACTGGAAAGCTGTCTTTAGTAACTGTTTATTCTATCAGTTCATTCATTGAAAATAAATAATCAGCAATAACGATATCGTCTGACATTTATCCCAAAGCACCTTACAAACTCTGGGCCCAATTCTGCTTTCCATCTGCATCCCACCGCAATCGAGCGATGCAGCATTGGGCCGTATACACCCGTTTGTAGCGACACACACCCCGATTCACGAAAGCACACCATTGGCCAAAGCACGTGCTTAAGTCCCACTGACTTCCAGCGTTAAGCATGTGCTTAGGTGCTTTCCTGGAGCAGGGCCACATGTAGCGGTGATGAAATGCAGCCACCACTGGGATGGAGGGCAACAACTAGGCAGATAACACTGCACAATAGTAATGAAAGGCCAGAAAGATACCTAAGCCCAAGAGGTACTGAATCACACAAACATACAGCTGTGAAGCAATGCTCCAGTGTGGAAGGGACATTAGAAGGGGAGCTTACCTGAGCACTGACACTGGCAGCTCCAGTGGAAATGGTTCCTTAAGCGTGGTTAGATAAGCACCAAGACTCTGCAGCACCTGCTAAGGAATAGGACATTCCAGCCAATGTCTTCTGTTCGGGTGGTCAACAGCTGCTGTTCCACCACGGCTCTCTCTCTTGCTGATCTCGTTTACTTGTCTAACTTACGCACCCACATTAACCCATGCCATTAGTTCTGGTCCCAGACAGCGTTTTCTCAGGTAGAATCCAGAGTGATCTGCCTCCTGCCAGCTGCCTCTGCTTATCCCCAGCTCCCAAAGTAGCGCAGGAGGTGAGGAACATGACTCAGTCACAAAGATGGGAGGGTTCCTTCCTGTGCAACCGGACAGTGGTGGCCAGGCTTTGCTTCCCGCCTGAATCTGGAGCATGAGTGGCCCAAGAACTCCAGAGAGGACCAAGGGTATAAGAATACATTTAGAGAGGAGACCAGCCAGCCAAACAAACATCTGGGAGCTGCTCATAGTTGGCCCTGCCTGGTGTTGGACTGTAACAATAGAATATTCTGGTTGTAAATAGGGGTGATACACCAAATAGGGAATCCAGTTCTCTTTGTGTCCTCCAGCTTCATCTTGCTGTGACCTGAGTGAAGAGAGAGAAGGGATATTTTTATGGCCTCATTAGCAGCAGGCACCTCTGGTAATCCACAGCCTGAGGACGTTCCAGCGAGTAGAACCCATGGGACAAACTGGGGGCTCCCTGAGAAGTCACCTACGGTTCCCTAGTTGCCACAAAATGCAAACAAGGGTGTGTAGTGGCCATTGCAGTTATAAAGCCACGGATCTGAATTGTTCTGTGGGTGGATAGGCGCGATTTGGGAAGTCTTTGGGGAATGCTGTGTTTCTACAATGGCAGATGGGGCAGGGGAGCAAACACAAGGCACATCAAAAGGCTGAGAAAGACCTAAACCGGCGCCTGGGATCCTGCAGCCCCTTCCCACCCAAGTAGTGCCACTAAACGAACGGGTGAAATCCTGACCCTATTGAAGTCAATGATGAAATTCCCATTGACTTCAGCAGGGCCCTGATTTCACTCACCTAGGTGACTAAAGGATCCAGGAGCAGGCCATTAAGCTAGGAAGTGGAGGAGAATAAGACACTTACCCGGATGCCTCGGCAATCCTGCTGGATGATCAGCTGCTGAAGTTTATCTGAGGTTGTTCTGTGTTGGATGGTGGCGATTCCTGTCGGCTGGGCCAGGCCAGATTACCTTACTTGCCTTGTTTTCATTTAAAAAAATAAAACAAAAATACCATACCCGCAGCCCGTCCATTGGCTCTTCATTCATTCCAGCCGCTGCAGAAGGCTTTGATTAACAAGCAACGTGATGGTGCTATAGGAGCTGCAGAAGCCCTGTTGGATGGGTTCCTTGGAACGTCTCCTGTGGCAGCATGGGATGGGGCAGGGTGCTCATCAGGAGCTGTAGGAAATTCTCTGAGCTTTGAGGGCAAAACTGCTCAGGCAGATGGCTTGAAGGGGCCAGGACCTTGAGGAATCCATTGGGGATTCAAGGAGTTTGTCATCATTGCTCTACTTTCTTTGGCCCCAATTCAGGAATGCTCTTAGGCATATGCTTAAATCCATCCCTATTCAAGAAGTATGTGCTTCCCTTTAAACACGTCCTTCAGTCGCTTGGACTTCACTGGGACTTCAGCATGCGCTTAAAGATAACCATGTCCTAAACATGTATGAAATGTATCAAAGACGATTTGCAGCTGCAACGTAATGAAGGGACCTCAGGACAAATCCTGCCCAGACTTAAAACCCGTCCTAAACAAAAATGAATTGGGGTCCTTGAGCCAGCCCCTCAGCTGGTCTTCCATGGAGCTACGCTGATTTACATCAGCTGGAGAGCTCACCCAGGAGTTTGGTTTTTTTAAAGACGCGGATAAAGGATTTCCAAAAGCTAACACTGCTTCCAAGGCATTGGTGTAGGAAAGAAGAGAAAGACACACACCACACAGGAAATAAGCAGGTAATGGTTTTCACTGGAACTGTCCCAACATTCCCTGTCTGCTTTAAAGGAAGGAGACCCAACCCAAGGAGCGTAGGCAGCTGAATGGCTACATGTATCAAAGATGATTCACCACCATGGCATAATTAAGGGATCTCAGGACAAATCCTGCCTAGACTTAGACCCTGTGCAATGCCTTAGACTTAAACCCAGTGCAATTCCATTGCTGCATAAGGTACAAGCCAGGGATCCAAATGACCCTGCATAGCCAAGACAGTAGGACGGGTCAATATCTCACCGCTGTTACTAGTCGGGGAGAGTTTTTAGTCCATTCTAGATCAGCACACATCCCAGCAAGAGAAGGAAGAGAGGGGACACCCTCAAGCAGAGAAGGAGCGCAGATGCTTTGCCACGTTCCCAGCACGGCCGTAGGAGGGACAACTGGCAAAGGCATTGAGCAGACAGTGCCATCGTCAAAGCAGAGCCAGGGATTGGGATGCACCGCGGGGACAGGCAAAGCGGAGGAGGCGATGCGAGGAGACACTCGTAGCCCAGGCGAGAAGTGGCCCACTCGGATAGCTCAAATTCCTTGAAGCTGTTATGATACAATAATGCTAGAGAATGCAGTGCCCTGGGAAGGGAAGGCCAGCACCAAGGGCAGTCAGGGGCTAGGGCAGCTCATTGCTTTCCCAGGAGTCGTCCTGTTAAATGTAGCACAACTAATCAGATGGCAGGGCCATCTGATTAGTTGTGCCCCATCTCTTTGGGGCAGGGCCTCTCTTTGTTCTGTGTTCATACAGCGCCTAACACAAGAGGTCCATGACTAAGGCTCCTAGGTGCTACTGCAATACACATCATTAATAATTCCATATACAAATGACAACACTTAGATATCTGGGGTCTGATTTGCAGAGGTGCCCTGTGGGAACTCAGCATCTTTTAAAGTCAGGCAGGCAATGACAACTGGTTCTGGAGCCGTACGCTGGTTCTGTCATTTGCTCTGGCAGTTTTGCACCTGTAATTGACTGCAGGGGCTAAAGGTTTAGAGGCTGACTTCAAGGTCTAGCCTTGCAAATGAAATAAGAAGCATGTGGGCGTGTCTATTCCGAGACCTAGCGCGTGGCAAGTTGGAATTTCAAGCAGCAAGGTGCCAAAGTGCACTAGGGAAATTTTAGTGCTTGGTAGCAGGGTCCACCCAGCCCCTTAGTGTGCGGCAGGCTGTAGATTCACACCCCAGCTGGCCACGCACTCAGTCTTTGTGTAGACAATGCCACTAAAAGCTTTCCTAGCTGGGAGTGGACAATGCCCAGGCTTCCTGCATTGGAGGAATACTCATGTGGGAAGTTTGTTTGAAACCAATGAAGGCCCATAGGCATGAGCTGGCATACGGCTGTGTTAGCCGGCACATATCCCTTACTGGCTGGGATTTTGGTCCAAATCTTCAGCTGGTGTAAATCAGTGTAGCACCGATGCTGGTTCACACCAGCTGAGGATCTGGCCATTGCTCCTAGTTGGAATGAGCTGCAGAACCTCGAACATGTTTCCCCACTCTTTCCTGGCTCTCCGGTGCAGCTGCAGGTGGAGCAGGGGAAGCATCTGCATAGAACTTCCTGGAGGCAGCAGAGTGTCCTCCAGTGAAAGGGGCTGGGGACTGCACCCTCTAGGCATAGGTAAGCGGCTGGAGCTGGTTAGCGATAGGGTGGGGGTGGAGGGACAGAGGACACCCAGGCCGCAGGCTGGTGGGTCTACCTGAGAAGAAATGGGCTTTGAAGCCCTTCTTGGAGACGGTGTTGTCGGATTTGAACTCGATCCTCATGTTGTTGTACTGGGAAGTGATGACGTCGGGCTTCTCGGCACCGCAGAACTTGCCGTGCAGCTTGGAGTCGGCCGACAGCCCGCTGCGCACCTCCACAAAGTCGTATTTGCACACCTGCTGGGGTGAGGGTGGAGGGAACAGACAGAGGAGCCGGGCTGAGATGGGGTAAGGAGAGGCAGCCAGCAGGAGCTGACCAGCGGCTCATCTGGACAAGGGCTTAGAGCACTGAGCTCAGGGCTTGTCTACAGTGGGCTTACCCGCCATTGTAAATGTGCTGCAGCAGTGCAGAAAGTGACTAGCAACGGGGGGAGGCAGGTCACGATTTACAGCCATGCACACCTGCATACGGAAGCTTTGCACCATTGTATCGGCACTAGCTAGACAGTGGCGGGGAGCTGACGCTAGACAAATTCAGACTGGAAATAAGGGGCACGTTTTCAACATAGAGAGTAACTAACCATTGAAACAATCTACCAATCTACCAAGGGTCGTGGTGGATTCTCCATCAATTGCAATTTTAAAATCCAGATTGGATGTTTCCCTAAAAGATCTGCTCTGGTTCAAACAGGAATTAATTTCAGGGAAGTTCTCTGATGATCACTGTGATCCCTTCTGGCCTTAGAGTCTATGAATCTAGTGCAACAACCAACCCAATGTAGAAAAGTCCCTCACTTCCTCTGAGAGCTACTACATTGGCTTTGACTCATGCACTTACCAGGACGTAGAATCACCGTGAGAAATGAACATCTGACCTCCCTCTGCAGCCATGCCTCCCCCTACCCCCAGACCATGCATGCCGGGGCTTACAATTTTGCAGGGATCTGCACTTGGAGTTGCAGCAAGCTGGTCTTTTGCAGGTGGCGGTGAGGAGTTTAGAAAGGAGGAGCTCCTCCCATAAGGAGATGGGGCCTTGGTACTCACGTCATTCCCCTCGGTCTCAAAGAATTCGAATTGCAGCGAGATGCGGTACTGGGAAGGCGCCACCAGATGCCAGACGCAGTCCTTGTTGGGCGGATATTCCTTGGGCCAGCCAGGGCTGGTGATGGAGCCGTTGAGTCTGGTGAGGAGGCCTCCGCAGGCGGCTGCAGGGTACAAAGCATGGGAGCATTGGCCAGGCTTCCCTCCTGCGTGACACTTTGACTGTTCTAGGCCAGGCACCGCTCAAAAGCAGATGGGTGTGCTGGAGCAGTGCAGGGCTAGGTGCAGGGGGGAAGAGCACTTACAGCTCTGGGGCGGTCAGCAGGGTCAAGGGAAGGGTCACGGCCACCCGTAGATACTAACCCTCACACCGGCGCTTGTCCAAAGCTAGCTCGTAGCCAGGGTCACAGGCACACCGGTAGCTGCCCAGGGTGTTCACGCAGCGCTGCTCACACCCGCCATTGTTGGGCTGCGAGCACTCGTCTACCTCTGCGAGGGGATAAAAGCAGAGAAAGGGTTTGGTAGCGGGACACCTGGAACAGGCTGCCAGGGCCACGTCTCAGCGCTGGCCAGCAAGGGGGGCAGTGCCATTCTCAGAGCCCCCCATGGAGGACAGGAACCAAGCAGGGCTGGGGACTGCAGTCCCAATTGAGCACTCAGGAGAAAAACTGGGGAGCAGTGGCCTGAAAAGAGAGAGGCCTCTGAGCAAGCTAAGCTCCCGGCCAGTTGCTAGCGGGTTGGGCCATACCTTGGACTGGGCTTGCTTTTGGTCCCTCTACTCCTGGAAGCCCAAAGATAAAGGTTGGGATTTTAAAGCCAAAGAGCTTCCCCCAGCTGACATGAGGGAACAGCTCAGCCTGCCCCTTTCCCGCTGGCAAGCAGAGTCCATCCACCCCGGCACGCTGTGCCAAGCCCATCCCATACACCAGGAGGCTCAGAAGAAAGGGTCCATTGCCACATGAGCTCCAGATGCTGCCGGCAGAGGAGAGACGAAGGAGGCTCCGGTACCTTTGAAGAAGTTGACGGCGAAGCCAGCCTTGTTGATGGAGCCGTCCGAGACAAACTTCATCCACAGCTTGTTGGAAGTGCTCTTGATGTCGTCGGGCTTGTCGTAGCCACAGTACCGGCCGATCAGGCTGCTCGACTCGGTGCTGCCGTCCCGGATCTCCAGGTAATCGTAGGCACAGCTGTCGTGCCGCTCGATCTGGGACGGGGGGAGCAGGCAAGACAGCAGTTCACCAGAGGGCTCCCAAGGATCCCTCAGCTGCTCAGGGGCCTGATCAGTCAGATGGCAACTTCACCTGCTGAGGTTAACTCCCAAATCCAGTAGCAATGGCCAAAACCATTGTGCTTTCACTTGGTCACTCTAGCTCCTTTCAGCTAATGATCCCAAAGCAATTGAACAACAGCCCCAGCAGGCAGGGGAAATACCATGATTTTAAAATTTGGGAAGCTGAGGCACGGAAGGGACTTGCCCAAGGTCACCCAGCAGGTCAGTGGCAGAGAAGGGAGTAGGACCTAGTTCAACTGATCCAAAGGAGAAACGTTACAGGTTCAGTTAAGGTGCGAGCAATTTCATACCCCAGTACACAAACTCGACATGCAACCAGGCCTGAGAGGTATAGACCAGGTGTGTGAGTGGGGGTCATGGTACTGCAGCTACAAAATGGAAGTTGGGGATGCAGGGTTTGATTCTGCATTCACTTGAACCACTTCTATACTGGTCTGATCCTAATGCCTTCAGCAGGGACACCTGATTTACACCACCGAGAAAGCATAAGCCAGCCCACAAGGGGTAGGTAAAGTGCATTTACGGGCATGTCTGTGCTAAGCGTGGGAGGTGTCACTGCAGCACGTGTACCTGGGCTAGCTTTGATTGAGGTCGCTTGCTAAAAACAGTGGTGAAGGCAGGGCCGCACGGGCTAGCAGCCCAAATACAAGCCCTCCTTGGATCCCCGGTATGGACTCACCTGCGCTGTTAAGTCTCTACTGCTATTTTTAGCAAGTTACCTCAATCAAAGCTAGCGCGGGGATGGCACCCCCTGCTGCAATCAGATCTCTCCACTGCAGTGTACATAGACCCTGAAAAGGCAAATGACGCTTGCCTAGGCGGAGCTGTTCCAAGGTGCGGCTGAGGTGCAATTATACAACTCCCTGCCCCATTCGGCTTTGACCTCAAGCCCATGCTGGCTTCCTACCGCTATAGAGCTGAGCTGGGCAGAAATCCTCCAGCAGAACCGTTTACTGTCGGAAAATATAGATTCAATGGAATTGACACGTTTCACTATTTTGTCATCAATATTTTGGATGAAAAATGATGTGCAGGTTTTGTTTCGATAAGGGCAAAGCACTACATTTCGATTAATATCATATCAAGAGTCAAAACGCTTCCTTCAAAACCAAGCACTTCGACAAGATCGTTTCGATATTAGCACAAAACCAGGTTTTTTGAAATTTCATTTCGTGGGAATTTTTGGAAATTTTCACTTGTCGATGTGATTTCGGGCACAAGGAAATTTTGCAATTTCTGGATTTCCCAGGGGATGGATGTTCTGAGTTCTGACGGTCTCTACAGCGAGCTCGCCGGTAGGTTTCTCATTGCTAAGGAACGCTGTTCTAATGAGAAGAGCCAGCGGGTGACTTCGGATGAGTGCCGATGACTCAGTTTTGTGGCTTTGCTTACGGAGTGGAGGCATGTGGTGACTTCTGTGAGCCTGCCTGTTGTTGGGCAAGAGGAGGGGATGATGAAAAGAGAGGAGAGTACACGTTTGCTGCAGACTAATGGGAATTGCTGTTAACATGAGTGAGGTGTGATCTAGGGCTCAGATTCTCAGTGCTGCCAAAGGGATTTAGAAGGGGTTTAAACAGAGGATAGGGAATCAAGCATTCTGCGTTATAATCCCGACACTGACCTTCTGAGTGACCTCGGCCAAGTCACTTCCCCTCTCTGTATCTCAGCTCTACCGTGGGTAAGATAGCAATACTTAACTCTTATATGGGGCTTTTCCTTCAGGAAGCTTAAAGGATCATTACACCCACATGGGGAAACTGAGGAATGGAGAGGGAAAATGACTTGCCCAAGGTCACCCAGTATGTCACAGCAGAGCCAGAAATAGAACATATAAGCCTAGCCCAATGCCCTATCCACTGGGCAATGCTGCCCCCTCGCCCAGCAGCTGCAAGGATTCACCAATTAATGCTTTGGAGGCGCTTTGGAATCTTCAGGCTACCGAAGTGTTGGGTGAAATCCCAAGAGGTGTTGGGCTCCTGCCAGCCTCAACAGGGCCAGAGAGAGTCCCAGAGGCTCAGCATGTCTCAGGATCTGGGCCACGGCGAGCGTCAAGGTTCCATGCCCTGTGCCCATTGCCCTGCATGCACTCACAGTGCGGGCTGGACACTCGTGCTGCCCATACCTCGAACGACTGGAAGGTGAGCCCCACATGGAAGCCCTCAGAGATCGTGATCTTCCAGGTGCACACTTTGTTGGGCCGGTATTCATCCGGGTAGTTCGGAGACTGGATGTGGCCGTTATCCTTCTTCATTTCTCCCCCGCAGATGGCTGCAAGAGAAGGTAATGCCAGCCCGGCTGTAAGCAGCGGCCCAGGCAGTGCACAGCAGGGTGACACTTGCCTGGGGGAGCGGTGGTGCTGCTGCCAGGCTGGCCCTAGCATTTGGGGGCAGCCCCCGGGGAGAAAGTTATCTGGAGGGCCTGGTACCACCCAGCCCATTCCCAGGAGAAGGCTTAGCACTGACAATCCTAATCAGCCCTCCCCAAAGAAAAGTAACCCTTGAGATACTGCATGGAATCGCTCCCCCCCGGAGTCACCTCCCTCCCCGCACCAACACGAGCGGCTCAGCCAGTCCCAGGGGCAGAGCCCGGTACCTTCGTAGACGGCGAAGAACCCTTTGCCGACCCAGTTGCTGCTGCTGCGGAACTCAATCCAGAGGCGGCTGTCAGTGGAGATGATGGGCTCGGGGAGCTTATTCCCGCAGAACCTACCTGGAGAAGGACACGTGCTTTATTGGGTATCTCTCGATGGCATTTACTGCCAGCGGCTCACACCCTCTGCTCCCTGCATTGCAGTTGTGGAGCAAAGCATTTGGCAAGGCAACATCGCTTCCCGACAATACCTGATTGGCACTGGAATGTGGCCAGTTTGGTATGGGAAAATGGCCATTCAGTCCAATGCAATCTCACAAACATCTGATGTTTCCAGTGTGTGTGTGTGTGTGTGTGTGTGTGTGTGTGTGTGTGTGTGAGAGAGAGAGAGAGAGAGAGAGAGAGAGAGAGAGAGAGAGA